AAAAATACAAATTTTCCTTTCACCCTACGAAGAACGACTTCTTTCTTCTACTATTTTAGTACCCACAGCAATAACGTCGTCCGCTACTCAGACATAACTACGTCTCATAAGAATGCTGGACATCAGAACATAACGTAACTGATTCTACAAAACCTGCTTGGATATACGGCGTTGAACTTTGGGCGTTTTGGCCTCCTTTATATTCATTTATCTAAATTTACATTAAATCTTAATATCTCATTTATCTTTGAAGTCATGAATGGCGTCTTTTTCCATCATACACATGCCAGGGATAGTTCAAATATGCACCTAAGGTTCCATCCTCTGCACGGCAGAGAACGTCGCCTACGTGTACCGTAATCTCCTTAACCGTACAAAACAATCTCACATCGTTTGGCTGGTTGGTAAAAAGCGCAGGAAGATAAAACTGGAACACAATAAATGTGAACATTTCTTTCATATGAGATTTCGTATATGGTCTGCGGGGTGAAAAAAGTTGGTAACCTGTAAGCTGGGCGGTACCGAACATTAGTAATAGATGCATAGTATATAAAAGACTGTGCGACAACTGATCATAATTCGACAAAAAAAGGAAAAAAAAATCTATATACCGAAACTCATTTGGACATTGAACCTTGGGGTTCAACCCAAATTTCCTCCAATCCTGACATCAAAATCCTCGGAACCATGATCAATGCTCCTTTAGAAGAATTCCCGACTTTCTTGCCAAAAATCTTGCATCCCTCACTTTTCAGATAATCCTCCCCGACGATTTAAGCGACACGGCCTTGTAAATTTATTAAGTACGGTGAAAATCAACATTACCGTTCAGGAGCGCTCGGGAAATAAGCCTTCGCAGTTGGTGAAAGCTTCCATCAACTTACACACCGAACATGCAAATTAGAGATTAAATGACTTATTTGTTATTAAATCCGGACATAACCTTTACACCACCGAGGTCTAACCACTCGTTTCACCTTGGAAAGTATATATTTTAATTAAAATGGCTTTCCTATAATATATGAGAGTAGACTGATGACATAGAATAGGAACCTTCCTTCCATGTTAAATAAGGGATTATGTTTAGCCGTCGGTTGTAAATATTGCTACCCTTCCCCAAGTTGAAAACAATATGCGTCTAATTTGATCTACAGAACAGCATACTCAGCATTCCTAATCTAGGCGAGGGTCCCTAAGAATCTTAAATGACGTTACAAATGCCACAAAAATATGTATGTACTTTGGTCGTTTACGATCATTTTGTTCGCTAATTTGGGGATGATTGTTAATTTGGTTGTCAGATACGTTTTGCCATTTCGCCATTATCCTTGGTTGGTTCTGTAATTTTTCGTTTAATCAAGTCACTTCTATGTGTGAGATTTCTTCTTGACGTCTCCTGGAATGATGAATCTTTGCTTGATCATTTCCAATCGTTGTGGTCATAATACGATGGTGCAAAGTTGAAATGTTTGTCTGACCAGAACATCGAGGGTAGGCAGAGCAAAGTTTTCCTAAACAAAGCTAAACCGAATAAATACCAGAATTTTAGGTTGTGGGAGAGATGTATAACATTGCGGTTACTTCCCACAAGTGAGAACATTCCAAAATTATGTTGTTTAATATCTCTAAAATAGGACAACGGTCAGAGTTTATATCCTCGATTTTTTATTTCAATAGGTAGAGGGCTTTACTCAAAAACATTGTCCTTAGCTTTAGTTGGAGACACGTTTGTTTGCCTGATTCCTGAAAAACACATTTCCTTTATTTTTCGCTTACTTACGTCTGGATCAAACGGAAAAAAGAAGAAGTCGGGAATGGAGGAATCCGCCGAAGCCAAAAGTTTAATCAGTCAACTGAATTTCATAAAACGACAAAATTATTTAACAAAAATACTTAAAAATCAAGTATAATTATTTGTATGTTATACATGATACTGTTTCGTTGATAATGAATATGTTCTTCCTTTTCCTTGAGGTATTGCTACCAATTTTCCATAATCTACTAACTAATTTTCACGAATTGCTGTCGCCTAACATTTCTTACTGCTTCTCTAATTGTTTTATGTCACCAATTTTAATTAACGAATGGCTGTCGAAATTAGTTTTGCCCCACTTTACCGCTACGAATTTCAACGCCTCTTGTTTCATTACTGACGCCAATAACAAGTGCTCTTATTCTATAGGATGTCGTCGAATTTATCCAAGAAAACTGAAACAAGAAATCTGCAAATGTACTTACGAGGAATATAATGTGTTTTACTTACTTTTATTAATATAGTTTGGATTGGAAACTAATTTGTTTAATTATTTCATTGATTTCCTTAAAACGAGCACTTTCTTTTTCCAAGTTTATTTTGGGGTCATGAAGATTATTCACTCTTTATCATTAAACTAGTATAGATTGTTTAATTAATATCTTTATTTAGTGATATAAATATATTCTTGTTTAAAAAATACGTAAATAAATAAAAGTGGGTATGTGGTGTGGCGACAAAAATATAGATCTTGTTTTTTTGTATTTTTCTAATTCATTAGGAGTTTTATAATGAGTAATTGGTTGATTCTCCGTTTGGAAGTGATTTAGTAAGTTTTCTTTATCTGCTTTTGTTTGAATATTGCTCCATTTTTCTGTATTGAATTTTTTCAGGTTCTCTATAGAGTTAAATGCTTCCCTTGTGTATAAAGTATTCGAGAAAGCTCTCGCCCAATAATTCTCAATATTATTGAGACCTGGCGGTTATGATGGCCAGGAGAAGACTGAAATAGTTTAGGTTCGAACGTTCGACGATCGTAACTGAATATTTTTTTGGTGAACAAAATTGTAATTCAGTTTTTGGATAGTAGCCTATTGCCACCCACCACCGAGAAAAATCGAAATAATACCGAAATCCTTCATGACATACCAGTTTTTGAAAATTATTTTTTACAACTGCGATTTTTAGTAGCCACAAGCAAATGAAAGAATAACAGACATAGTGATAATCTAGCTGTTACATACACTTGACAGAAGTCACCCAGCATTGACACTCCCTCGCATTGAGTCAATCAATCTCTCGAAAAGTCTCTCGGCCACCACCGCTTCAAACGTGTGTGAATTTTTCCCAGGAATGTTGGGACAGGAAAGATGTTGAACAAGTGGATTAGAGTGAAGGTTTAAATTTTCATCATGACCTAATAATGCCAATTACACATGGGATTTGGATGTCATTGTGGATTGTTAGGTTTGAAACGTAAAAAGGACCAGTTTAATATTTTCCTTAGTGGTTTTGTTTGTATGGATTGAATTTTGCAGGAATTACATTTTTTTGTTGAACCCCATCTTCAATTCATTACGTCCATACCGGTCTTGTAAATGGTGAATTTGTTAGTAAGGCGTAAGTTAGACCAGAGTCAAGTAATCTAAGGAGTAATTTGCAGCGTCTAGAAATATATTTCAAAAACAAATTGATTCTGTTTCCCAATGTTAGTCTATGGTTACGAGAACCGATGTTCAACGGATTCACTAATCACCTTTCTTGGTTCGTTTATTATTGCTGGTCGGTCTCGATCAGTTCAAGAAAATTACATTAGCTTGCTTTGACTTAACTAAGTTATATAAGTACCCATGATGATTCCAAAAGGACACTAACTTATTTTGATATCAGAAAGAATTTTTAGGATTTATTGCAGAACAGTTGAACAAACAGTGAAGATTTAATCAAGAAACACAGTGTAGATATTTTGAAATTAGGACTGATTAGTTATTTTGTTTCTTGTTGATTAACCTTCTTTTAAAAATTAAAACATGGATAGAATTAATTGAATGCTATTTTGTAAGTTCGTAGTAGGAGAATTACTGATTTTTTAAACTTTTTGTTTATGAAGTACCAAACAACAAAGTTAAGCATTTGTGGTTTTTTAATTTTTTCATGTGGTTTTTCTTACAAATATTTTGTTTTATTTTTACACTAAATTTTTTGGACGTTTCGAGAATTTACAACCACCATCAGAATTTTATTTTTCATTTTAAATAGTTTATATTAAAAGATGTATTACCTTTTCCATCGACAAACAGTATTCAACCTAATTCCACCTTGTCCATGCCATGTTCAAAAATTTAATGTCAAAATAAAACCAAAAAATTATAAGGAAAACCACAAGGATAAATTATAAAAAATTATAAATATAGAAAAGACACAAGCAGTCTCTTACACAAAACTACCAAGCTAGTAAAAAACCCTGTGAGCCACCTATTAAATGCCTATCCCAATCTCTTATCGCTTTCTCTTTGGCTTTATAAACTTTTGAAGGGGTGTCTTAAGCTTTAAATGCTTTCAAGATTTCGGATATTAGACTCAGCCTACGGATTGTTCACAAATTTCCTTTGCGTCTGAAGAATTAGATTTCTGTCGTAGAATAATCCTCCGTTCTTGGAGAGTTGTTGCCGACATGTAGGTCTTGCGATTATATTGTCTATGTATACTTATTTCTTTATTATTGTGTATCTTGCGATTCATCGTCCAGACGAACAAAATATCTTACAAGGTGTCTACTTCTTAAGATAAAAACTGATCAGTCTGAACATAATTTTTTTGCATGCGATTATTGCTCTATATAATCTCTTTCAATTAATTAATCTTTATGTAAGGTATTGGTTGAGATAAAAAAGTCAGTGTCACGAGCGAGATTCGAACCCACGACCTTCGGCTAAGTACGCCGCTGCTTTACCACTTGAGCTATCGTGACTTCGATCCACTCGGACACCAACTTCCCATCTCAACCCCACCTTTCTAATTTTCCCTCGTATTTGCCATTTTCATCTCAACCAATATTAATTAATTAACCGATTAATTAATTGAAAGAAGTTATTTGGTCAATCGGACCACAAAATCTAATGGCTCTATATAATGTTGACGGGGAGTAGGTATGTGTTGACAGTATTTTCTCGTTTATAAAAGTTCTTCTTAAAAATGTTATTATCGTATTATTTTTGCTTTTTCAACCTACTGTTTTATGTTTCAGAAGCACATCGGGCGCTTGAGCTCTTGGAAGACTACCATTCGAAACTGACGAAGCCCCAGGATAAGCAACTCCGCTTAGCCATCGAGAGGGTGATCCGCATTTTCAAATCCCGGCTCTTCCAAGCTTTATTAGGTATGTATTCTCTTTTGTTTATTTTATTATACCCCAACGCGAGGAGGGTTGTATGGTTCAGATGAGAAAATAATCAAAAAATTGTGATTTCTAAACGCCTGCTGTTCGAAGATTGAAAGATAAGTGAATAATAAGTTGATAAACAGAAAAATAAAAGAACAAGCCAAGCGCTGACCTGGGAAATAGTTCCTTTTCTCTAGTAAATCTAATACGAAACGAAAAACACGTACGACAGGTTAATCAATAAAGTTGACGTTAAGATGATGCTAAGATAATAAATATTCAGACGGGCCTGTGTGCATTACCTTTAGCATTGGATTTTATCCGTGTAAGTTTTTTAAATTAGTAAACATTTTAGCGTAATTTACTTCAACTGCCTACTTTGTCTGCCAATTTAAATTGTTTTAATCGATGATAGATTGTAAGGAGGGCGAACTATACTGAGAAGGACGTCAAGTGGCAGACGGATTTACTTTTTGTTCCTAAATGGCAAAAGTTGTTACTTTCTTCGATAACATATTATTTGTCAGGAAATGAGAAACATTTTTAGATCAAAATTAACTAGTTTATATATTGTATTTTCTCTTTTGATTAGATTTTGATCCGGATTAGACATTGTTAGGAACTAAAGTCAAGTAAAAAAAGTAAATTTGGAAAATTTATATACTTCAAAACACATAATATAATATTTATTTTTTTAAATATAGCGATTATTAATAAATTATAATTAATACAATTGTATAAAATCAGGGATAATATTAATTAATAATTTTATAATTGATAATAAAGGTTAAATTTTGTTTTAAAAAACAAACAAAAAAAAGTCTAAAAATGGTCTATCTGCATGACCATTATGCTAGGCCATGCTGCATACCGTTTGGTAGGTTGCAGCAGGCAAGTTTATCTTTCCTGGTATTGATTTTTGGCCAGGACCCGACTCTGGTTCCACCTAATGGACGGTTGGATAAACATCTCGATTTAGAACTTCGCCCGATTTCCACGAGAGGAAACTGTATAGCGTTAACGTGTTCGTTAGACGGCTGCAAGAGTCAATGAACAGGTTTTGTAAATAAACAAATTAACGGCAGCACTTATTTAGATCGGAAAGAAGTAAAGTTCCGGCTATGCTAAGGCTAGGAAAATTATTATCTCTATACAAATAGTCATTAATTTATTTCAATATATTTTTTATCGCAAAAATAGTTCTCCTGCTAATAAAGTTTCATTCTAGGTAGATTTCTTACGTATATTAAACCTGATTTTTATCACTGAAACCTAATTTTCAGCATAAAAGTCACTTTAACCTATTTTTAAGTCGAAAGCATTACGTACAACCTCATTTTTTTAGTCGAACGTCACTCGTATTTTTAATCCTCGAACTCAGCTGAAATGTATTTTTTTGCTCCTTGCTTCTTTTAAAACCTGAAAGCTGAAAAATAACCTAAGTAGAATGTTCAAACTTTACTTATAAATCATTTTTTATTTTTAAGCTACAAATATTACGTACATCCTATTTTTTATTTTAATGGATCGTCACTTGTAACCTAATTTAAATTGTCAAATCTCAGTTAAAATCCTGCCCAAATCTCTTAAAAACCCTGTTATTTTAGCTGAAAACTCAGTTACAACAATTGGATGTTCAAACCTCACGAATAACCTGCTTATAAGCTCAAACTACACTTTAACTATTATTTCGGAAAGAACGTTAACTTAAGTTTTTCTATTTAAGCTAAAACCACAATTGATCTATTTTTATGCTGTAAACTTCACTTATTACCTAACTTAAATCGTTACAGTTAAATTATCACCTAAATTATTTATTATTACACTGGAATGTCATTTGTAAATAGTAACCTTTTTATGTGTAAATTTGAGCTCATATTAAATCGATAACAAGGAAAAACGTTCACTTATAGCCTACTATAAGTGCCTACAAAAGCAAAGCCATAAAAAAGCCTACTATTAAGGCTAAAACATTTATTGATCTATTTTTAAGCTTCACCTATTACATAATTTGTCTTTACTTCTAAGTTATTACAAAATTTTTAGTCTTTACCATCAATCGTATCATCCTACTTTAAATCCATACATATTAAAATATATTTTTTTGCGCCTCTTCAAACCTAATTTTAATTTACCAACTTAATTTTATCCTAAAAAATGAGCTTTCAACTTTTCAAACTTAAATCCTTCATTTATAACCTGAAACTTCACGATTCAGTATACTTTAATTATAACCTAATTTAAATTCTTCAACCTCAGTTATAACCTAATTTTTAGATCACTTTTATCCTATCTGCTATCGTAAGCCTAACTTTCAACTTGTCAAACTTAAAACCTTACATATTTTAACTTGAAACTTCATGTATAACCTACGATTCATTGTAATACTTTACTTATAACATATTTTGAATGCTTCAACCTCACCTAATTTTCAGTCGCGAAGTCACTTGTATCCTACCTATTATCCTAAAGCCTAGCATTCAACTTTTCCAACTTAAAAACTTACATTTTTAATATGAAACTTCATGTTTGACAAAACGTAATTCAATCTAATACTTTATTTATAACCTAATCCTTAGACTATTATGAGACTTTTAACTGATTTTTACCCTACCAATCTCACCTATACAGGGTGTACTTTGTAGATGGCCCGGGTGAATTTCTCTTGAACGAATGACGCTATCAAAAAAACAAAAAATATGTCTTTAATATTTTTTAGACTAGTGTCTAGAGACAGACTACTTTGACATCATTTTAAAGGACATTTTAAACAACAAATCGGACTTTAAATTGGTCAAACATTGACACAGTTATGGCAAAAGTTTGGAAAAAAAAACAGTCGTTTGGTTTGCTATTGGTTGATACATTGCTTTATTAATCTCATTTCATGTTCGAACTGCCAGCCTTGTGCATGCAAAGATTTACTCGTTTTAATAACTCTAACTGCTCAGAGCGATATAGTCACGGGAAATGGTTGACAAACATTTTCTCTTCTCGCAGCAGTCCTTCAACTAAGGTTGCTGGTTTATGATTGGCGTAGAATGGCCCTATAGAAAATAGGTAAGTAGAGTTAAATTGGGTGACCGAGGAGGCCAACAGATCGGGCCATGAGGTCCTATCCACCTATCCCGGATTCAAATAACGTCTCACGTGCAAGAAGTGTGTTCGGGTCATCCATCAAACTAGAGAATCATTCTTTGTCATTGTTGCAGAGGAACTTCATCTAACAGTGTTGGTACCTCCCTCAAAACATTGAGGAACTAAGCACCATTTAAATTATTTTCGTAGAAATAAGGCCCCATTAATTTATTTCCGAGAAGTCCACACCAAACGTTGATACTTGAACCACAAGAGTACGAAATACTCGGATTTTCCTCTGCCCACGTTCGAAAATTCCATTGGTTTAATATGCCATTAGAGGTGAACTTGGATTCATTAGTCCATAGGATGTATGGAAGAATGTTTTCTTCAGCCTCCCAAAACGACATTTGTGCAAGGAACGTTAGACACTTGTCTTAATCAAAGCCGCAAATCCCCTGGAAAAGCTGAGAGCGATACGGCTTAAAATTGTAAGTTCGGAGTAAATCTTGGTGATGGAAAGCAACAGATCCGTATCTCCTCATATTGCGAGCGACACGAATAATCATTTTGCAGTTTACTCTGGATCGGTCAGGAAATTTCATGGAGCACAACTCGACTGCACGACGCGCAATACCACCACTGTGAATAAAGCAGTCGTACATATTAACTCGATGTTGATCGGAAAAATGTGCTCTTCGGTTCATTTTGAATGGAATACTGAATGTAACAGATAGGCACTGTTGTAAAATTGATTTACTTCGAGGAATTAAGATTTGCTCTCATAATACGAATTTGACAAACAATTACAGAATGTAAACCATAAAGGCAATTAATGTTTACCTTAGTGAAGATGCAAATTATTAACAATCAACAACGAAACAAACGAAATGCGTTTTTTCAAACTTCTGCCATAACTTCGTCATTTTTGGACCAATTTAAAATCCGATTGCACATTGTTTTAAGCATAAAATATCCTTTAAAATGATGTGTATGATTTTTGTATAATTTTTCTCTAAAAAAGGTGAAAATTTTAAACTAGAGTAGGAAATATTAAACAGGTATTATTTTTGTATAGCGTCATTAGTTCAAGAGAAATTCAACAGGGCCATCTAAAAAGGACACCCTGCATACAAATGAATAATCAAGTATCACTTACAAAGTTATTTTTTAGTGTCTAACCTTACTCGTAACCTACTTTTCATCCACAAACCTCACTATTAACCTAATTCTTAGGATGAGAATTCATTTATATTCTGCTGTTCAATCTAAAACCTTACTTACGACCTGATTTTATTTCTCAAACCTCACTTGTTATACTCGAGCGTAATTTCTAATCAAATTTCCAGGCTAAAACTTCGCTGATAACCTATTTTTAACCTAATATTTAGCCTGAAACTTCAGATTTAACTCTTAATATCGTTCGTGTCTTGTTACTTACTTCTGATCTTCAAACCTCACTTATAACCCAGTTTGAATTCTTAAAACTTACTTTAACTTAATTTTTACCTTGCTCGTTACTTGTTACCCACTTTTATCCCCAATCCCTCACATAAACTTAATTTTCAATAAATTCACTAATTTCGTGGTCCGCTTGACCAATTAATATATTACAATTAATTAAGGTTTTTAGTTGAGATAAAAAAGTCAGTGGCACGAGCGGGATTCGAACCCACGATCTTCGGCTAGATATGCCGCTGCTGTACCACTTGAGCGATTGTGACCTCGATCCACTCGGACACTAACTTCCCATCTCAACCCCACCTTTTGAATTTTCCCTCCTTTTTGCCATTTTTAATGCGTATCTAGCCGAAGATCGAATCCCGTTCGTGCCAGTCTTTTTATCTCAACTAAAAACCTTAATTAATTGTAATATCTTAATTTTCAAGTTTAACCGATTACATACTTTCTAGCCTCTG